TTAAGGTTATCATTCAACCTGCAGAAAAGCAGAGCTGGCTCAGGTTCCTAAAATAATAAAGCAGACAATAGATATCCCATGAGCAGCTCACCTGGAGATTGCCTTTATGTTGTTGAAATAGAGGCTGAAAGAAAGGGGCAGGTGATGGCGTGCGGGACAGAGTTTTTATCCTCTCTCTGCCAAACAAATCATGAAAGGGCAAAAATATAAAACCAAATTTTACTTTTTAAGCATGTAATCATTATCCAGAGCAGAGTATGTTATGACAAGTCTATAGTAAACATTTCATTGTAATACTGAGTTACCTTGTAGCAGGACTGTAGAATACAAAAAGAAAGACTCCAACAACCACACACACTGGGGCCAAAGATTTAGTCAGAATTACTAATATTGTTTCTTGTTCTGAAAATCATCATTAAATAAAACAGAATTAGTCATATTACAGAGAAGACAATGAAACTATTCTGGGGCTGATGCCCAGAAAAGACAATGAAACTACTCTGGGGCTGATGCCCTGTAATGTTCTGTCTTATATAGGTGATGATTAAAAAGACAAATGAGTCATTTGAAGTCTCTGAGATGCTATCATTACAGTACATTATACAACACTTGTGGTTAATGAGACACACATAATTTAGAGACAAGAAGACCTTATATACAGTACAAAAAAGGAGAAAGTAGACTGTACATATACCTGTAGTGTAAAGAAAAGTTGTCATTTTACCTTTTTGTGCTTCATTCTCCCAGCATGTCAGTGGGCTCCATTTACTCCAGGTCCCAGTGTAGCGGATAGGTTCAGATCTCACTTTGATGCAGTATTTAGCATACGCTTTAGGGTGCAATCTTAGAATTGATACAAACTTTTCATCTGATTCGAGATGAGAAGTCTGGGGTATGGTTGAAACAAACAAATCATCACTGTTAGATTTTATTACAACCAGAACAAGCTATCAAAGAATGGCTGTTTATGAGAGTTGATCTTACTTTGCTCTCGCTGCTTTGAAATGTTTGAAGTAAGAGCTGGTAGCGCACAAAACTGGCAAGGTAGTCATGTTTCTCATACCCACTTTTCCAAGTGATGTTGAAAGCCTCTGGTGTTTGATGGACCTCAGCTTTATGTGGGGGTGTCATCTGAACTGATCACAAACATTCATTAAACCATATTTATTATGTTATTAACATACAACAAAATCTAATACATACAGCACATTCAGCCATTACCAATAATAGAGGTACTGTACTTGGGAAATATCATAATCTCTAGATTATAATCTCTACATTTAGTGTTATTTTAAAGATATCAAATATGCACATTCAATCAGCATGAGATACAGTTAATTCATACTTACCGTTTTTGGATGGCTTAAAACTCTCCACTAGACGATGGCAGTCAAATGTATTACAAAGGTCTATGTCATACACAGAAACAGCGGATAATTTATCACGTGTGACTTTACACACACAGCTGTAACTGTGATTCATCAACACAAGTGGACAGGAAAATTTGCCATTCCTAAAGATTCAAAAAACAATAACAGAACATTAAAGTGGAAAGTTTTTT